CTCTTCTTCTTCGTTTTCTTTTTTGACTGTTATTGGACTATGTTTCTGTGTCGTTCTGCTTCTTTCTTTTTATTCTGTTCTGACACAATAGAAAAAAAAAGATAGAATGAGATAAATAGATAGATAGAGCAAAAAAAAAAAGAAATAATGAACGTTAGATTTAAAATTAATGTATTTTCATCCCACTCATTAAGTACAAATAAGGTTTTTTTCTTCTATTACTCCCATGAGAATGAAATAAGGTCATTAAAATTAAATAAAGGACGAGAAGCAAAAATCAGTAAAAAAATAAAAAGATTAAAGATGATGATTATATGAAATTAAGATGAAAGTTAACACGTGAATTTAATCTTTTTAATATGATAGGAAAGTTTTTTTTATCCTAATATTTAATCTTTTGTAATTGAAAAACTATTTTAAATCATTTGAGAAGAGAAAGTACCCCGATAACAATTATGCTTTTGACAAGTTAAAATGAAGGACGGACAATAACTTAAATATATTTAAAAGAATATTTCTATATATACACTTACATAATATTATGATGAAGATGTTATGAAAAGTGTAATCAGTAGCATGAAATGGAAAAATCTGAAATATCAGGAAAAAAATAAAAATGAAAGTTATTTCTAAATAATAAAGACAAATTATGACTTTTTCAATATTATTTCTTTTTTGACAATCATGTCAAAAATAAAATTAATAACAACAATGAATGACACCAAGGACAGTATCGAAATTGAAACAATTGAATAGAGAAAATGATGATACGATGAATGATAGATGAGAATTAGAAGACAAAGGAAACGATATAGTCAACTACCGGATGTTGGATGCAAGAGAAGAATACGAGTGGGTGTATTCAAAATAATGATTCTAATTAGATCTGAGTTAAAATAAATAATACTCGAGTTTATTATCATTAATTATAATTAAAATAATAACATACATCTATTTTAGGTCATGCTTTTATGCGAATACCTGTACTCTATCATGCTTTTCTGATTTGTGTACGAACTGTTGAACATAGTGATCCATCATTACTTATTGATATTGATCCAAAATTAGTAATAAAAAACAATTTTTTTGTATATTATAAAATTTCTTTATTATCTAGACTATTATCGGACTTCATCCTGTTCCATCAGCAAATGATATCACAAGTCCATTAAATATCTTACCCTCAGCTACAACTAATCTGTCTTCATCAGTTGCTATTTCTAATGAAAAATCTAAAGATGATATTCAACAAAAAATTCGTAAGAAAATAATTTTACTACTATTAAAATCAATCGATTATTTCTTAGATCCTCTTACTCAACATCGTATTCTTCATCGTCGTATACAAAGTGATCCATTATTTTTAGTTTCAAAAGATTCAATTCCTTTCAATCGTTTACGTGTTACATCTCCACCACCAGTGCTAATACATGATGAAAATAAAACTATTCCAAGTATATCCTATTTTCAATCCGATGAATGTGGTTCATATGGATCAAGTTATGATTCTCGTGGAGATATATGTGAACAAAATAAACAAACAAAATTAACTTTAGGACAATCAACAAGACCTTTTTCAAATAATCGACAGTCAATATCAAGTGAAATAACATTAATTGATGAAAAAGATAATAAAAATGTGTTATCTTCTACAGCAAATAATGATGAATCAATAATTTCAACGAATTCAACATCACCAATGGATCAAAGTTTTACAACATCAACAACTGATTATCAAACTCGAAGTAAGTTTATTCTTACCTTGGAAATGTCTTGAACTTAATGCTAGAAAAATTAAATATATTATAACGAGTATACCACCTATAGTTTTTATAACTACTTCCTCGGCACAGGACATTCTCTTCCTCCGCCTCCTTCTCTTCCATAATTTTTTCTCCCACGTTCTCTTTTTATTTTAATTAAAGTGTTCAGTTTTAAACACTGTACGACACGAAGAACTATTTGAAATTTTTATGATTGTAGAAGAAAATTTGTACTTCATACAGCTTTTATTCTATATATTTTCAAGGAAATTTTTGGCCTAGTAACATTATGTCGTAAAAAACTGTGCACGAGACTACTTCATAATTGTTAATGATAATTATAGAGACAGAATATTATAGACTATTTTCATCTTAGTTATAATGAAGTTGAATAAGTTTATATATTCTTCGGAAACAAAATCTTCTAAACCTAGTATTTAAATTTAGAATATTATACATACTCTTGAATAAATTTGAAATCTTATAGAGCATTACTAAAACATACTAACTAAGTCGTAATGAGTAGATTAAGAATTCAATTCTTTATAAGAGGAAAAATGAACCCTTGTTTTTATCCAGACATAAATGCATTATAAAGAAACAGTGAAGGCAAATTATGATATTACGCACGAACTACGATCCCATTTAATTTTGATGTCTCGGCATACTTAGTCATTTCTTTCTTTTATATACACTCTCTAATTGTTTTAAATGATAAGGGACTTGTAACTTCATATAATATATAATAAAATTCAAATTTAAGATCTTGTTATGTTTCTTTTAAGCTTCACGTCTTCCACATTCATCATTATTTTGGCCACGAAAAGGTCAAACATTAGATAATTATATACGTGAATGTGATCTAAAAACTCGAACCGATGTTGAAAAAGTAAAAAAAGCAAACTATTTTATATATTTATTTAGAATAATTTTATTTTTTTCCTTTAGGAAAATGCACATTTTTACTTTAGTGAAGCAATTATATCGGCTATCGAACAAATTAAATTTACTCAACAATGTAATAAATATTTTGGTCAATCATGGTCATCATCATCAATAGCTAGTATGATATCACCATGTGAAACAACACATGTATCGTCATCAAATAGTAGTTCATCACCACCAACACAACAATATATACCATGTAATTTAAAATTAATATCAGATCATCAAAGAAAAGTATTTGATTACTTAATTCTTATCGTTAATTTAATTGTATATTTATTTAGAATTCAACTATGGAATTATCACAATGTGATCAAAATTCTGAAATTATGGAATCAACTACAGATTCAAGTGAAAAATAACTTTATTTTTTTTTTATAAAATAATTTCGTAATGATTTTAGTTGAGCCACCAAATAATTTCGATTGGTCTGTTCGGAGTTCAGTATTAAGTTTAAAGTAATTTGATTAACGTTCTTTTTTGTTTTACTTAATTGACTTTTTAGTTCACAAGAATCATCAGCTGAATCAATAGGTATGTATAGATATACTATTATTAGCCTTAATATCAATATTTCTTTCATTTAGCTTTAGCGCTAATGGAAACATGGAAAAATTATAAAGTTCCAACTGCACCCGAACTCTTTTGGATGATTCCACATGATGAAGATTTACCACAAGAAGTAAAATTTATATAGAAAAAGAAATGTATTTGTTCTATCAATATTTATTTTTAAAGTTATTACCACTTCCAGATGGTATTTCAATTGATCCAAGTGAAGATTATCTTTCTAATGAAGACGGTCAAAGAGTAAATTATATGGTTATAATCTAATTTATATTCTTATATTAATTTTATTAAAGATTTTGTGTCGTGGTAATAGCCAATGGGCACCACCTCGTGAACAATTAATCTTTCATATTCATCAACCTGCAAAGTAGATATCTATCTATATATTTATCAATTAGAATCAAATTTTCTCTTTAGTCGTGATAATCAACTAAGAAAACAAAGTTATCTATGTGCTGGTTGTGGGCGTCATGTTGAAAAAGGTTATGCACATCGTTATCGATATTGTGAATATACTGGTAAATGTTTATAGAGGAAAAAAACGAAGTTAATAAAAATCGTGATTGTTTTTTTTTCTATTTTATTAGGCAAATATTTTTGTCGCAGTTGTCATTCTGATAAACGATCATTTTTACCATCATATATAATAACAAAATGGGATTTTTCAACAAAACATAGTGTATCAAATTTTGCATATGATTATTTAAATCGTATATATAGTGAACCATCATTTAATATTGATGATCTTAATACGAAATTATTTGAGAAAAGTAAACAATTAAGATTAATTGATGAATTACGTTGGTCACTTTTCTATCTTCGTCATTATATTTTAACATGTCGTTTTGCAAAAGAAAAAGGGTAAGAAGAATAATCAACTGATTTAATAGTATATTTCGAAAAACACCCATGCCCACACATGCCCATCCATACTCACCCACACCCACACCCACACCCACCCATACTCACCCGCACCCACACCCACACCCATCCATACTCAACCGCACCCACACCCACACCCATCCATACTCACCCACACCCATCCATACTCACCCACACCCACACCCACACCCATCCATACTCACCCACACCCATCCATATTCACCCACACCCACACCCACCCTCAGTAATTACTTATAGACTTCATTAGCATATTCTGTTAAAATATGGGATAATTACAAGATCAATTATTCAAAATAAATCATCTTTTTTTCTATTAACTAGTTGTCAACAAATACTACAGAAACTATCATCATACATATATTCCAATCCACATATGTATTCGATACAAGATTTATTTAAAGTAAATAAATCGAAAATTTTTACTTGTAATGATTTAATTTTTTGTATGATTAGACAAAATCAGGTGATTTAATAAAGGTGCTTGAACCAATTGTAATTAATTTACGTGAACATGTACTTACATGTACATTATGTTATGCAAAAGGATTTATATGTGAAATATGCATGAAAGAAAAAGATATTATTTTTCCATTTGATTTAGAAACAACAAGTGTTTGTCAAGGTTAGATTTTTAATTAAATGAATTAAGAAAAATTTAATTTTTAATTTTCTAGTTTGTCAGTCATGTTTTCATTATCAATGTCATGAGCATAAGAAATATCATTGTCCAAAATGTCAAAGAAATAAAACTCGAAGGTAAAAAAAAAGATTTAAAATATGAAAAATACTCTTGTTGATAGAATATTTACTATGAATCTCACAAACAAAAATATAACATCCTATAGAAGATGTTTACAAAGCTATTTGCTTTTAATTGTTCGTCCTTCTGATAAGATTTATTCTAGAAAATATGTATACGATATAATTTGTAACCTAGACATTGGTCTTTCTAATGATTAATTTAGAAGTTTGCAATATGTTCTAACAGAAATTGACATTTTTGCATGGCATCTCGTAATCGAAGTGATCTGGATCTATGTGCTTCGAATGCCATAATATCTAGTACGACAGATATATATATATATGTCCATTCGTCTTATTATCCATCAAAATAGAATGTTTTGGATTTCATTAGATAATCTACTTACTTCTTTAGATCAAGATAAACTTCCTAAATAAACATCGAGTCTTCTGAATCTAGTACTACTACTATCCATTGTTGTTTATCCTATAAACATTGTAATAATTACAAATATTAAGAACTAATTTTAAGCTAGTATTACTTTTTATATAAAGAAAAACAAGAATCATATTGATAGATTATTTAATTGAAAAATATTTCTTTTTTTTATTTTAGTAGTGTTACTTTATCAAATCGAAGTAATACACCGACGAATATTCAACAAGACGATGATGTAATTACATGAAATTTTTTTAACAAATAAGTCATTTTCTAAATGTAAAAGTCTTTCATAAATATTTATTTCCTTATTTTTTGTAATAATATTTCTTTTCTTCTCCGGTTTTTTTCTCATCTTGTCGAAAATTCTATTATGTATATTTATTCTAAAGATAATATTACATGCATATCAAACAAAAAAAAGAAAAGAAGGAAAAAAACTAAAACTACTTGTGTATTTTCATTTGTTCTTATTCTTATTATGATAATGATGTTGCTAGCAATATAGAGCTATCCATCATTTTTTTAATAAAAAAAAATGAATAATAATGAAGTAGAATCAAATTTCGACTTCTCATTAAGAGAAAAGAAGAGAAATTGGCTTGATGATATTTACAAAATCTATCTTTTGTCTTGGCTTTCTTTTTTTCTTGTCTTACCATAACCACCTTTCTAGTGTTGCATAAATAATAGTCTTATATATATATATCTCCATTGACACATACGACCGACGACATTAATTGCTCGTTGCGCGATGACGAGCGGACTAGTATAGAGAGTGCCAAGCTGCTGTAATCAATAGAGAAGGAAAACAAAAGACAAAACATCATTACCGTACGCGTATTTCGAAGAGAATCTATATTATCAATAGAAGAAAAGAGAAAAGAGAAAAGGATCGAACGATTTGATTCATACGATCATTTGTACTCTTTTCTTTTCATTAAATAAACAAGACAACGTATGATTGAAAACCGTACAATATGAGTACAAGTCGATATGCTGTTGTTCGACGTCTTAGTCGAGTACTTCTATTACCAATGCATGGTCATGTTGCGACCAATGATCGGTAAGATTTATTTAAATTTATATAGCTCTCGGGATTATATGTTTGTCACATTAGTTTGTTGACTTGTCTTACTGATGAATAATGATATGTGTATAGCTTGAAAGAAAAACCTTTGTGATCTCAATAGTATACAATTAGGATATATATTCTTCTTTGGGATTGAGGGAAAAAGCGAGAGAGGGAGAGAGAGCTTACAATCTATCAGCATAATGAGGTCGACGATGAGCCGAGCCAATCAAGCTTCGGAATAAGATACAAATAGTACTAGGAAAAGAAGAAATGGATGGATGATTAAACAGAACATTTGTGCTTTGTACATGTAAAGAAATACATATATACATATATATTTATATTGACCGATAACACTTTAAACAAAGTAAGTATCAAGCAAGTTCCTATATATTTATGAATTACATTTTTTTCGAATAAATCGACATTATCTCGTATCAGAGATTAAGTTTGTTGTATAATCTAGTTGTTTATATTATATTGTCGACTTATCAAGTAATCAGAATACTTCTTTTTGATCTTGTATTTATATAGAATACAAAAATATATTCTACCTTTCATAATCAATCATTAGTTAATTGATATGAATACTAATAAATAATTGCCTTCATCAAAAGTATTCCATGAATAATATAAAGAAAAAAATGATTATTTAATCATTTTGATCTTATAGTATCATTAGGAATGATCTTTATTATGAGATCATCTTACATTCTTTCCTCTCTCTCTCTCGTTTTTTTTATATAACTATAAAAATATATACATTTGTTATGTATCTTCGAAACTCAGTCTTCTAAAGAAGGATAATAGTCATATCTTGCACTTGATTACCATCTTTGTTCTTATTATGTATGCAAGTTTTTGTTTGATTATTTGTATGCAAAAAAAGATATGAATAATGCAATGTGCCTTGTTTGTTTGCACTTAGAAAAAGTAAATGAGACATAAAGTGGTGGTGTCATCTCGATCGTGTTTCAGGCCAAGGCATCCAATAGAGTCGATCTATAAGCACACATATTTCTACTAGGAAAAGTATAATTAGTGATGGCAACCACATCATCGGATGAATGGACACAATTAATTGAATTGATTGATTGATTGCTTACATACTTTGTACTCTTTTTTTTCTTTTTTGACATGAAGAAATATGTATTAACGCGTCAATTATCACAAATCTTTCTTGTCAAAAAGACTTGTCGATGTAGCAAACATATTGAAATATTCATCACCTGTTCCAGTTCTTTTTTTTTTTGGTAGACAAAAATAAATTCGATAAATTTATAGATCAGCTGATCTATCTCGTATGGGTAATTAAATTAACAGAAAAATAATTTACTATTTCTTTTCGATCTCTAATATGTTATTTAAACATATCTATTAAATTTAGAATTATTCATCATTATCTTCCTGTCGATCGATCATCCTGAATGATCCTTAGGGTATTCGGACGTTTTTCTTTTTTTTTCTTCTTGTCTGTCTCTCATAACTCTTCTCGTTTGTATAATTAAAGAAAATGCTTCATTTTTTCTTAAATGATGAACAGAACTTAGAATTTTCTATTGGTAAAAACGACACTATTTTCCCATGTTGAATTTCGTAACATTTTATCTAATACAACTACAACAAGTACATATTTACATCAAATAGATTCAATATTATTACCATTTCGAGTGATTATTATACGAGAAACGAGTTATAACACATTAAATACAAAACAAATTTTTTTTGCTTCTATCAATATCAAAATAAGCATCGGAAAATCACTGTTCAAGTAGGTTCGAAAGAAATAGTAGAAGTCTGTTTTCTTTTCTCGTCTATTCTTTCATTATAGACATTTCAATGTTTATTTTGTGTGACGATATTAAAACAAGAACTTATATATATATATATATATTTGTCATTATGCCCTTGATTATAAACCAATCCGAGCTAGTTTTCACTACATGTCATCTAACTAATTGTATAAAGAAAAAAAAAGCGTCCTAAGAAATATTATATCTATGTATATATTTACGGATGAATGTGTCAATCGTGACATTATTATTGATGATGAAATAGAAAAATAGAATCAATAAGGATGCGCACATTGATTTTCTTCTTATACTATGTATGTATTAGAATACATTTGCTAGTCACCTTAGTGCCAGATGATGATGACGATATATGATAGAATAACGCGTAACAATAGATTGACGACTTGCTTGATAACATAATTCTTTCTCTCTGTATCTTCCCTTGTATTTGTTCGGGTGCGTTCGTAGTTAGTCAGGCACGCACACACACGTACAACCGAATGCCGATCAAACGAGCAGTAACAACAGCAATAATGTCTACTACTATTTTTTTTCCGTCGCAGACTGATGGTGTATTCTATTCTGCGTTGATTAGAATAGAAGACACCGATCTGCTTCCTTTTTTTCTCTGTCTATGTATCTATATGGTGTTTGGCTGTTCGGATTGTATCCATCTGTATACTAATCTAATTCTTGTCGAGTGTATAAATCGTTTGAAAAATGAAATTCTAATCTATTTATAAAAAAACACCGCGAAAAAATGCGTCCCGGTCAGGTTTTTGTTGTTTATCGATCGACGGCTTTACCAATGGCTAAACCTAAGTATGAATATTAATTTGATTATATAGTTAACTCTTTCTTAATATCTAATTAAACTTAAATGTATAAATATCTCTTTTTTTCTTGTTCAGTATGAATCGTCGACAAATTAAAGATCCATCTAATACTGGTGATCAACGAATATGTACAAAAGAAAATTGTTTATCATGTTGCAAAAAATTTACGGCGTTTATGTTTTCACGTGTTGGTCTCTTTCTTGTTATGATTGGTTATGTTGCACTTGGTGGTTGGTTATTTCAAGCATTGGAAGCTCGTAATGAACAAGATATGCGTCGTTCAATGAGTGAAAAATTGAATTCAACACTGTTTAAATTATGGGTTGAAATCTTACGTGTTAATTCCTATCCATATATCGATAAGAAAGGAAATTTTACATTTAATGCTACACAAGAATTAGAAAAATTTGAAGCAACAGTTATACAACAAGTACATCAAGGTTTTGATGGACGAACAAGACCTGATGCGGATCCTGATTGGAATTATTTTGGTGCAATTCTTTATGCTGTTACACTTGTATCAACCATAGGATATGGTCATATAACAACAAAAACGGTACAAGGAAAAATTGCAACAATACTTTACAGTGCATTTGGTGTACCATTAATGATGCTTTTTGTTGCAAATATTGGTTCAACAATGGCAAAAATGTTTACATTTGTATTTAGTCGTTTAACAATGATATTTTGTTGTCGATGGAGTAATAAAAAGAGACGAAAAAGTTTTAAAAATCGACCTATAACTGATCAAATATCATATATAGTTGATGAAAAATTACCCATTGAATCGACCACATTAAAATCAAATTTACAACAAATACAAGATGATAAAAGTAAATAAATATTATTTAAATATTCTTATTATACTTCATATTTTTATTCTTAGTTTCATTAGATAATAATAATGATCGTACATCGAAACTTCGTCTTCAAATGGATACAAATTCATCTCATACTTCACTTACAAATGATATTAAAAATCCATCAATAGGAGATAATAATAAACAATTACCAGCAGATATACGTTTAAATATGTTAACAGGAATGTCAACCGAAATAACAAAATCTCCTTCATTAGCATCATCAACAAGTACAATTAATGAACGATCAAAGGATGCACTTGTTCGTATTAATGAACTTATTAAACAAAGTTCCGTCCAAGATATTTCAGAGAAGCTCGATGATGATGAAGTTTTTAATGATAATAATAATATTATACTTTCATCAATTAATCAAGATAAACAACAACAACAACAATCCGATGAAATTAGTCCAATACAATTTTATATAAATGAAACAAATAAATTAACAAATAATATAGAAAAAACAATTAATAGTCCAAGTTTTATTGAATCTGAACAAGGAAAAATAAATATTACAAATTTAGATGATATTAACATTCAACAAGTAAATAAGTTTTTTAATTAAATCTCGTTAATAGATTCTTCAGTAAATGTTTCTAAGGAAGACATATTTTTTTTGCAACTAATTGTTTGTCATATCATAAATAACAATCATTTCTGAAGAAAAATGGGGAGTTTCCTGTCAAGTCTTATCGTCGTTGTTAAAGACGGGGATAATATTACATGAGTTTTAATCAATATTTTCTATAAGAAGAAAACTCATTTAATATATGATGTCACTGAGTTCTTTCTTTTTTCTGTGTTTATATCACTATGAAACAGTATTCATTTTCTTAATTTAGTAGTTGAGTAGAAAAGAAAAACGATATATCTCGAAGGTAAACTGATGACATTTGTTTATTTTATAGCCTGTTATTGCTAAGGCATCTTCTCCTCCTCCTACGACAACAACAGCTACGATCGATAATAGTAATGAAACAATGATTATAACAGAAGAAAAATCAAAAAAATCTTCGAAAAAAAATTTAAAACGTTCAAAATCGGAATCAACACACAATCGTAAATTAAAGATAAAATCTACTAATAATAATTCAAATTCACCTTCAGTAAGTGATAATACTGAATCAATAAAATCTCCTCCTCGTCGACGATTTTTTCAACGTCGATTAAAAAAACAATCAGCACTTGATGTTGATATAGCTAAAACAGGTTCACTTGAACATATAACAACTGGTATATCAAATAAAATAAGTCAAAACTTACCACGAAAATCTCAAAGTTTCGATGAACATTTACGTCCTATATCACCTCCACCTGATTATGAAGAATCGGCTAAACGTGACATAACAACATTACCATCAGTAACATGGAAATCTGATAAAGAATTATATTTAAAAAAAGCACCAATTAATTTTCGAACACATACAGATTTTGAAGAAGATGATGAGATGTATGAAGATGAACAAATGAGTGTACCATTACTTGTTACTGTTTTTGTCATTCCGCTTTATTTAACACTTGGCGCTATATTATTTAATATTTGGGAAAATTGGGGTTTTCTTAATTCATTTTATTTTTGTTTTATAACATTAACAACAATTGGTTTTGGAGATTATGTACCTGGTTCATCATTAACTGTATCAGCTGCAAAAGAAAAACTTATATCGGCTGCATTATATATTTTACTTGGTCTTGTACTTATAGCAATGTGTTTTAATTTAATGAAAGAACAATTAAGTCAAAAAGTTAAACAAGTAGCTGGTAAATGGGGAATCTTGGATTTTTAGGAACATTTCAAAAGTTTTCTTTTTTTTTATTGTTGTTGTTTTGTTTCTTGATAAATATATGCGCAAACCTTGTCTTTTTTTTTCTTTGCATTTGTATAGTAAATAAAGAAGAGAAAAAAAATACAAATAATTATGATTTTAATTAACATATTAATTAAGTTTTTATTTTTATTAATTTAAAGAAACAAAAAGAGATCATGATTAAATTAAGAAGATATACGAACTTTGTCTAGAATCCATGGGTGATAATAACTAACTCGAGCATAAACATCAGAATAATCTGGATTAATACCACAATCAACTGTTCCAGACATGATACCAACCTGTTGCCAATAAGTTTTTCCATTTGGATGATCTATTGATCGAACTAATGGGCCACCACTATCACCAAAACATACGGCTTTAGGTGGAAAACCTGCACACATTTGTCCTGGTCGAGTATTTTCATTAACTCCAACTAATGGAGAACATGATGGATGTGTGTTTGGTACATATTGTAAACGAACTTGTTGTAAAACAGTTGGTCTCGTACGGTTAACACTATTCATTGCACCCCAACCTGTAGCTACTAAAGATGCACCTTCATTTAATGGTTGACTACTCATATTAGCTGGTGCAAGACAAATCAGATTAAGACGATCATCTAAATTTACAGGCGTACGTAAACGAATAACAGCAATATCATCATTAAGGTAATAATCATCATAACTTTCATGAACATAAATACGTTGAGCCATATATGCTATAGTTGGTGACAGTGAACTAATATTGAATTCATGAAGACGAGGAATTACACCTATATATCGAGGCGAAAAACCAAAAACACAATGTGCAGCTGTAAGAACATGTTGTGGTGTAATAAGACTAGCACCACAATATGAAGTTGGTGAGCCTGTTAGATTAAATGCAACGAGAAGTAATTGCCATGGCCATGAATTTGGAACAGCTGGTTCACCATTAACAATTCTATTTGTTATTACAGGACTAATAGCAGGACAACCACAGTCACACGGTTCGGCAAGAGATATTGTTGGTAATTGATTATCACTACAATTTGTCGGTAATAGATTTTCACTACAATTTGTCGGTAATTGATATTCATTATTATTTGTCGGTTTACCAATTGTAAATAGAAGTGCAATACTAGCTGTCAATGCCAATACCATAATTGTTGCAAGAATTAACATAGCAATTGTTATGGTTTTTAAGAATTTACTTGGCATACTTAGTGAATTAGATGTTTCTGGATGTACAATCATATTACAATTGAATAAAATAAAATGATGTGTTTCTTGTTGTTTTGCAAAAGTATATAAATAGGGTAATCTAAATGAATTAGTATTAAATATCATAAACTTTCAAGATAAATCTTTTTTTTTCTATTTTATGATAGGTATTATAATGAGTTATCATATATGCACTTTAGATTGCATATTTTCTTACGAACATATAGGTGAATAATGATAGGAATAAACTTTATTAGTTTTTAAATTATGATTCACTTCAATTATCATGATTAATATATAGAGATTACCGAGAAATCCTTTTTTTGTCAAAGATATTTTGTATATAAAATTTGATGATAAAAAATTAGTAAAACTAAACGATCATATACACTTGAATTTTATAATGATAATAGAAAACAAAAGGATTAATCATAGTAATACTTGAGAATTATGATCCAGATTAATTGTATCTTTAATGTATGCGAAGAATTACGATAAGTTACAATATATTTATTATATTTAGTGAATAATAAAATTCTGTTGTTTTCTTAAAATTAATCATTAACTTGACTCATATTTGTAAAAGGTATTTTTACATATCGGATTTTACTTTAGAATATACTCAGGGGTCGCGCGAGCGGGTGTCCGGGGGTACCCCCCCTGATGTTGGCTGACTCGCGCCGCCTCTGACTATACTATCAAACAGATATCATTTAGAGATTTTTACAAGAAAAAGAGTCTTGTAAAATGATAAAAAGTCTACAGGATAATCACCCTATCGGAAATTTTGAAATGTATCTTCTTTCTTAATTATCATTGCCACATGAATCTTCTTTCTGGCAATACTCGACTGTTTCAATTAAATCAATAAATTCTTAATATTGTTCGATTATCATCAACAACTTGTATAGGCATTCGTTAACGCCATCTATATTCATTTAGTGGGCGATATAACGCTGAAAAAAGATTGGTAAAATTATGAATCGTGTTGCGAAATAAACAACTCAAGTTCACGTTGAAATAGAAACAAGTTGATGCACTGTTCATTTTGTTATCTATCTTTTATTCAATAATATATTTACATCATGCTTATTTTATTTGAAACATCTGCTGGTTTTGCTATATTTAAGGTTTGTATCTTTTTTGTATTATCGATAGTGTTGTCATGTTCTTTTTTCTTTCAGTTACTTGACGAAAAAAAATTACAAGAAACTAAAACTTTATATATCGATTTTGAATCACCAGAAAAAGCTGCTAATGTGTATGATTATTATAATCAATAGTAGGATTACTATCAATATCAATTTTCATATTTCAGTATAAAATTAATTCAATTTGAAAAATTTGAAGACACAACACAAGCTCTTGCTGCAGCTACAGCAACTGTTGAAGGAAAAATTTCTAAACCATTAAAAAAATTACTTAAACGTCTTGTTGATCCAGATGTTCAAGAAAAATTACTTGTTGCCGATTCAACACTTGCCAAAGCTATCAAAGTAAAATTCTTTTCATTCAATAAATCTTATCTAAATAAATATCTATGTATATTTTAGGAAAAATTTGGTTTTGATTGTATATGTAATAGTTCTGTACAAGATCTTATGCGTGTTATTCGTTCACAAGCTGATAGTCTTTTACAAGTCGATGAAAAAGAATTAGCTGCAATGCGTATTGGTCTTGCACATAGGTATTATAATAAAAAATTTCTTTCGTTTTTTTGAATTCAATATGAGAAAACTACAGTTCATATTATGAAGACAGAGTCGGCCTCTTCCAAACTATCAGTTTTCATATTGTTCATTTATTTCTAGTTTGTCACGATATAAACTTAAATTTTCTCCAGATAAAGTTGATACAATGATTGTTCAAGCTATTTGTATGTATATATATATTATTAATAATATTTATCTCATTTTGAATTTTATCTATAGCTTTATTGGATGATCTTGATAAAGAAACGAATAATTATATAATGAGATGTAAAGAATGGTATGGTTGGCATTTTCCTGAATTAGCTAAAATAATACAAGATAATATTGCTTTTTGTAAAATAGTACAACGACTTGGTAATTAAAATTTGATTGGAATAAATTTTTTATCTATTTCAAAATATTTACATAGGTTATCGAACGAATGCAGTCGAACTTGATTTGTCAGATATAGTACCCGCTGATGTTGAAGCACAAATAAAAGAAGCTGCGGAAATTTCTATGGGTACTGAAATATCCGAAGAAGATATAATGAATATTCGACATCTCTGTGCTCAAGTACGTTTAGTTGAATCGATTAAATAATTCATGTCTTATGTTCGAACCTAATTTCGAGAATTGACATGGTATTTAAAGGAAAAAAAAGAAGCCAATAATCTATGATGACGTTAGATACCGCCCCAGTCTGAACATACGCATGTAGATCGGTCCCATACTGAGATTATTGGCTTAATAATATTTTTATTTAAATGAAACTTTCATATTTAAAATTTTCATAGGTTATTGAAATATCTGATTATCGTGCACAATTATTTGAATATTTAAAAAATCGAATGATGGCTGTTGCACCGAATTTAACAGTATTAGTTGGTGAACTTGTCGGTGCTCGACTTATTGCACATGCAGGTATACATTATTTTTTATATAAATTAAAGAAATACATGCATAAAGTCAGGGAAGTGTTTACATTCTGAGAAACATGAGGTCAGACGTCTTTTTTTTCTATGTAAATGTCATCAACATTTTCATTCTGAATGAATCATAATTAACTTTATGAAGACATAAACATTTTAATAACATGCTTTTATCACGACACTTCTTTTCTATACGAAGATTTTGACATTACATAGATAGTTAAACTAATTTTTCACGGAATATTCTATATCAAAACATGAAAGTTCATAAATATTTTAAGTACATTTTGTTTTCTAATTAGGATCATTACTCAATCTCGCTAAACATCCTTCATCAACTGTACAAATCTTAGGTGCGGAAAAAGCCTTATTTCGTGCGATGAAAACTAAACATGATACACCTAAATATGGTTTAATTTATCATTCAGCATTAGTTGGTCAAACGTCAGCGAAACTTAAAGGTAAAATTAGTCGTATGTTAGCTTCAAAAGCTGCATTAGCTATACGAGTTGATGCACTCGGTGAAGATACGCAAGCAACACTTGGTTTGGAACAACGTGCAGATCTCGAACGAAAATTTGCTTTACTTGAACAAAATGCCGTATGTTTTTTCATTGTTTATTTTCTTCAAAAAAAAGAGAAATTTTATTTTAGTCAAAACGTATATCTGGTTCGGGTAAAATGCAAGCGAAATTTGAAAAATATCAAAAAAATACGTATGTTATTGATTTTCTACATAATTTTCCTACATATATATTAAATATCTTATAGTGACAAAGGTCAATTTAATCAAGATCAAGCATCCACATTACCTCAAAAACGCCATTCAGATTTCGGTGGTCGAGGTGGTGCAAATAAACGATTTAAGAGAGGAAACGCGAATAATTCATTTGTAGTTTAATAATGAAAGATAGAAAAACTGCACAAAATTTTGTTGTTATCTCGTTTTTCGGCTATGGATGCCTCGTAATTGTTATGTGTCTTTTTTTTGTAATGAAATAAAAAAGAAAAAAAAAACTAAATCTTGTCTAACCTTCTGACTTCTCCCTTGAAATACTTCTTTCAATAGAATTTCAAGTAGTAAACGTCAGATAAATTATATATCAACTCAAATCTCGAAAAAAATTCAATAACCTTGTTTCAATCAGGTTAACAAGAAAAAAAAGAGACATGAGCACAAAATTCAGTTTTCTTTTTCTCTCTCTTCTCTTTTGGTTTCCTTTTGTACGACGAAATAAAATGACTATAATTTACTTATAGTGCTCGATGTCAATGGACAAACTCATACATGACATCCGTTGTGCTCTCGACATAATTATACTGTGCACATACATACAGGAAGATCAAACGGAAAAAAATGCAAGAAAAAAGAATTTTCTTTTTCTGAGTACAAGGATATAAGAATGATGCAGTCAGAGAGTTCGTTTTAGGATTTTCGATAAAGACAAGACTAAAAATTAAAAAAAAACACATAATACAATTCAAAAAATAGTTACATTACTGATCGTCGAACAATAATACAAAAAAATATCTATCCTTATCAATTTCCCTCTTAATCAAATCATAACTCAACTATCTGTCTGATTTATTTATTGTATAAACTATATGAATAGTCTCTATTACAAAATATTTCACCTATAAATATCCTTATATTAGCCTGAAAATGACTACTATTAGTATCCACTCTAGATTTCAACACGCAAGATTAATAGATTATTACTTCCGTCTTGTATAACTAAATCATACTTTTAACAAGAAATATTCTTCTACAGGATACATTACATCCAAACTTTGAAAAAAAAAAACGTCATGTTTTACTTTTATAGTATTAATATAAAAAAAGAAGAAGTTCTGTATATAGATTATAATAAATACATACTCTTCTTCTTTCCAAGGCTAAAATTTTGGCAGAGAAAAAGAAAATGTATTCTTCTCTTTCTAACCAATAAAAAAAGTTTTTTTTTCCAAACACCAATAAAAAAAGAATTCCTTTTTCTCTCTATCGATTTCACCAATTGGATAAAAATGTAATAGTAAGAAGAAGAAGAAGAAGAAGGAAAAAAATTATGTTCTTCTCTCTTTTAAAATTACCCTTATTCTTGCTAACTAATTATTGCCGTTGAAATAAGAGTGCATATTGCCTTTCGTCAACTTACAGAAAAAGCGGATCATTATCATTGGGTTAAGTTGAACATAAAATAATAGAAAAGAAGACACAATTCACCCTCGATTACTGATCGGTTTCTGTTCTATTCATCAATGTATTATCAACCGTAATTATTGAAGGGAAATAACGCTTACGCTCGTCTAACTTCATTGATTTCTTATTCATTGTGGTACATTGTCTCTTTTCATCTATATTATTACTATTATTATTATTATTATTATTATCATCATCCAAAGTGAAATTATTACTCAATAAAAAACAAATCAAATTAGTTACAAAAAAACAGGAAGAAGAAAAAATATATTCCAGCATGATGCATAATGAACCATCAACACAAACTCTTCCACCACCAATACCATTATCATATGAACAAGATACAAAAGCAAATGGTTTTATTGATTTTAATAATCATCATCAATCAATTGATATAAATGATCCTCAACAACAATATTCAAATTTTCTTCAACATAATACATATCATCATCCAACACCTGATGAACAACAATTTTATTCAGCAACACGAAATTCATTTCCATCCTATCCATATCCATATTCATTACCTTATCCACCATTAACACTTGATTCAGGTTAATAGAAAAAGCCTAAAAGAAATTATTAATTCTTTAGTTATTTATTTAGATGATAAATGTCATTATGATGAACGTGATATACCACCGAAATTAACAATTAAAGGAAAAAAAATTCGTAAACCAAGAACTATTTATTCCAGTATGCAATTACAAGTACTTAATAAACGTTTTCAACGTACACAATATCTTGCTCTACCAGAACGAGCTGAATTAGCTGCTTCACTTGGACTTACACAAACACAAGTAAAAAAGAATAGAAGTTTTATTAGATTTCATTTTTTTTGTCTATAATAATTATTTTATTTCTTAAGGTAAAAATTTGGTTTCAAAATAAGCGAAGCAAACAGAAAAAGGTTGTCAAAAATGTTAGTCATCATTCATCGTCGTCACCATCTTCCCAAACCCCCAACCCGAACCCATCATCACATCGTACATCACGAATAATAAACAATAAACGAAGTGATTCTATGTTTTTAGTAAAACAAGAACAACAACAGCAACAACAACCATCAACATCATCTTCATCATCATCATCATCATCGGCAAATTCTAATCCCATTGAATCAAACTCATTTCATATTGATGCTGTTTCATCATCATCTCCATATGAACATATAGAATATCCAAATAATCCAAATCATTTCTGGTCTCTATCACCATATGTGACCAGTTAAATTACATATATTTGGACGTTAAAGTTGTGAAAAGTTTCTTTCTCTTTTTTTTTTGTCAATGTTTTCTGTCTGTATGTATTTAAATGAAGGAGAAGAAAATATATACAAATGCAAACGATATTGTTTCATATATACAATAAAATGCCATGCAGCGGCATAATCAGTATGAAGTGAAGAGAGAGAGAGAACAATCATCTTATTTCGATACTCTTTTCACCTGATCTGAAGTGATGTTAATCTTTATACTTAACAAACATAAAGACATCTGCTCAATTGAAGATGACGTTGTTTCTTTTTCCAAACTTTCAGCTCTGATTTCCGGTAGTAATAGTCGATGTTGTTCTTTTGCATGAATACTAATTATAACTCGACATATCTCCTCCTTCCATTAGTCGGCAGGCGATTCTATAATTAACTAGGTCTTTAAAAAAAGAAAACTTTAACATCCGGCTCTTTTTTTTTCTTCTTCTTTCAAAAAATTATATTTTTTAATACTATTGAACTTTCTTTGTATCATTAGTTAATAGAACTGTATTGTTTACAGTTGAATAAATATCTAAGCTGATTACAAGAGAAAAAAGGAAATTTTTCTCAATTCAATTGTCTGATCTTAATTTTATACATCTATTGAACACGTGTAGGACATCCGGAAAATATGATGATCAAGTGAATATCGATAATAACATTGATCTATTCTTAACGAAAGATTTAAAGTTTCTCTATGCGATTTGACAATGACATGTCACCATTGAGATTGTTTATGACAGCAATGACAATAAAGACTAATTATGTTGGTTGTCGTTCCCATTCATGTGAATATTTTGTTTCGTTTTCGTGCTAACATGCTGCGGGATAGTGACGGTGAATATACTGTATGTTGGTGGCTGTTACTCTTGATCGATGATTATATCGGCTGAATGAATGTCTATATAAAAGAGTGATGAAATCGTGAGAAAAGAAAAAGGACGAATGTATTCAAGTGCAATAAACGTTATTCTTTTTATTTAAAGAATAGGTGTTATCGACAGATTTTATTTTGTTTTTGTAGAGAAAGAGAGAAAAAAAACCGAAATTTTTTTTTTTCATTTTCTTATTCAAAATATTGCGTGTATGAAGTTAATCCACAATAGGTGGTCTTCATTGAAATATAGAGATCACGCTCGTTCAACCTATTTCATATTCGATCAGAATTCATGTCTATCAGTAATTAACCTTGAGAATACCGCAGTGATGTAATCGAGCGAGTAGATGTTTTTTTTTTGTACAATCGATATTCAACTGAATATAGGCTCAGTGAGGTGTGAAAAAGTATATTTGTATCTATTGAAGGGTGCGATAACAATCGATGGGGAGAACACTAATCGATAGTGCTTAAGGCATTTAAATTCATCTGATGTATACAAATAAGACAAAAAATAGTTGGCGTTTTCGATATTTTTAAATTTTAGTTTTATTAAAAAAAACATTAATGTATATATTTGCAGACGTAACAAATTTAATTTAGATCTTATCTCTCAAAACAATAAACTGTCAATACTATTACAATTTGTTTTGAGACAAAAAAAAACCCGAATACAATCTATTCTTTTTCTAAGTAGTTGTTTTAAACGATTTATCATTCTAATCTATCGAGATGATCAAAATAGTATGATTTTTTTTCGTTCTGTTCATCAAGATATTCATAATACTTCATACAACCAAAAGTATCATGACCTCAAATTTGTTAAAAAAATAAAACGATAAAACTTGATTCATCTTGCCTATAATTATATATGACAATTTTTACTATAAGAAATAAACGGTATAAATTTCTTCTTCTTTTTTTTCTCTATCTACATAATTTTTCAGGGACGAAATATTTATTAAAAAAACATAATTCAATATTACTCGCTCGATAAAAATTATTCAACAGAATAATAATATCAATCGTAAATAAATTATCAATAAAAACTTCATTAGATACTATTTACATTTTCAACATTGCATGGTTAATCATCGATGTCTTTTCAACACATGAATAAAATAATATTATATTTTTCCTATTTTTGAAAAATCAAAATCATATCTAATGACAAAACAAACAGAGCATCGATTATATTTCACGTATTTTTATATACGCGTAATAAACATTTGTTCGTTCTTCGAACACACAATAAGCGCAGCATGCATGATATACAGTAACATCGCGTTTACTAGTTGAAGCTGAAGGCTGTATAAATGTTCTGCATGATCGATTTTTTTCTCATCCCATACGCATTTTTTTTCTCTTACGTATGTACAATATATCATCGTCAACAAGCCATTCTCTTTTCGAAATATTAACCTTTTTTTTTTTGTAATACAGTAAACGATGACAAATAATGTTACAGGCAAAATAGGAAATAATGGTAATATTGTCTATGATACTGGTAATGAAATACATCATGGAAACCAACGTGTAGGTACAAGTGCAACTGAAATTGAACTTCTTGATGATATACCACCTCCAATTGGTGCTGGAAAAACAACTGCAGAACATAATGTATCTGATCGAGCACGTGTATCTGATACACAAGCAATATCTTCATCAATAGATAAACAACAACAACAACAACAATCAAATAATTATCATACATTATCACTTAATAGAGTACAGCCAACAGCTCATGTAGTATATCAAGATGAAAATGATCAACAACTTGGTTCTGCAGTTGATAAACTTTTACAAAAATATGCGCCAGAGTAAGTATCTAGTTCTTTTGAAAAAAAAATATTTATTTATGTTTAGTGCTATGCCACAACATCTACCGAATAAAACAACTAGTCGTCAACCACCTGCTCAAAGTAATATTTCAACAGCTTACGATCAACCGATTTTATCTTCATTTCAAACAAATACTCAACCATCAGCAACAACTGCACATAATTATTCAACTGTAATTCGACCAAATACTGGGTCATTACCTCAATCTCAGCCACAAATGAATAATAATATGCAATCATCAACATATCCACGAGCATCAAATAACTATAATAATTTTCAACATAATATTTCACAACCACAACAACAACAACAACAACCACAATCAAAACCAGCTGTAACTATTAAAACTAAAAATAATCAAGTTACTCAAGTGGTACCCGGTAAATTATATACATTAGACGATGATCCACTTCATCTTCTCTTTGACAAACAAAATCCAGTTTCTTCAAATTCATATCCATCTGCACAACAACCATCATCGTTTCAATCGACGTTTCAACCATCTGCTAATAACCAAAATATTCAAGATCCTTTGTCATCATTATTTACTAATACATCACAAAGATATCCTCAACAATCCGGATCAATAACAACAGATTCAAATCCAAATGGTATGCATCCGTTTGATCTTGGAAACTTAATAAAACGTGTACAAGAAGATTATCTTCGTGAAATTCAACCATTTGTATCTAGTGTTAAATTTGTTGAAAAAGATAAAGAATTTGGTCAAAATTTAAATGATATTGGTTTTACAACACCAGTTACAGTTCGAAAAGGTTTTACTAGACAAGCTGATGATATTCTTCGACGTAGTTTTGGTACAAAAGAAAATCAACGAAAACCAGCGAATCGTTATGAATCTAATGATTATTCTGATTATGATGATGATATTCGTGGAATTCGTACAACAGATCGACAAAATCCATTAAAAAAATTTGATTCTAAACAATCATTTACTTCTGTTACATCAGCATCAACGCATGATAGTGATTATGATGATCAAAATGTATCACTAAATACTAGAAAAAAGAGAGCAAATGTTCATGATCAAGGAACATCACCACCTCGTAAGAAATTTATCTTTAAATAAAATGTGCCTATTTATATATATGTACGTACAAATAAATATTTCAATGTTTTAGCGAAATTGCGTCAAACAAATACACAATCTCAAGTACAAAGTAAGAATATATCTAGTCATTACTATTTATTTAGGATAATTATATAGAGATCAATAGAAAATATTAATCACCATAATCTTATTTTTATTCAGGACCTTCTGGTACTACTGCTACAAAATTTGCTAAACGTATTTCATCAGGTCCACGCACAAGTTCTCCTGGATCAGAATCATCCAATTCTCATGATGATTACACAGCTACATACAATGAACATGAACCATATGCAAGTTCTCGAGGTAATCCGTCTGAAAGTATTGGTGCCATAGCTACAAAATCACCTCTTGTACAAGTAGGAAATGCAGGTGCTCGTGATCGAAATACTACAGGTAATCAAGGACAACAACGTAGTGAAGACATTCATCCAACACCACCAACAATTCGTCCACCTACAAATTCTCAAACTTTAAAGCGAAATGATAGTCAGGATAGTGACATATCATCTAGATCAGATCAAGTTAGTGAAAGTGATGACGAACCACCACCACCAAAACCTGTAACTTCAGCAGCAGCTGCTGGAGCATCTACTGCCAGAGACGCAGCAGCTAGCAAACCAGCTACTGGTAGAGACGCAGTAGCAGCTGCCGGAGCACC